TTAAAAAATGGCCCTTTTAAAGCTGCCTCAGTTGGGGGCGGAGGGGCGGCGGAAATCTAGATACTAGGAGAAACAACAAACATTTTGGTGTTAGGTATGGTAGGGCCAAGCAGCTCCTATTCTGGCTGCTGTGTTTGTCAATTCTCTGGCCCAGGCTTCCTTCCTCATCAGGTTTTAGTTAGCATTGCCAAAGGCTCAGGCAGGGGGGATAAGCAAGGCCTGGGGCTGAGAGTCAGGCTTTCAGGACCTTTTCAGCCCTCTGTTTCCATTTTTCCACCTGTTACTTCAGGAGGATCTTATTCTGAGGTTTTAAGTCTGGACGCATTTTGAGTATGAGCTCTAGGTAAAAGTGGCAGAGTAAAAGGTCCATTCATGTCTTTCTAGTGTAACTGCATAGGTTCTTTCACCTATCACTTTCCAGTAATTGGTCCTCAGCTTTAAGTGTCTAGAAACTGAGTTTTTCAGAATACCTGAACATCTCTAATACGTATTTCATCCAGGCCAGGTAAGACCTGGCACAATACCAGGTCCCTCATGAAAACCCTCTTCTTGTGATGAGCTACTTCTGCTTTCCAGTGTCAGTTCATATTTATTATCTGACTAGAGGCCCAGTGCACGGAAGTTGTGCAAGGGGCTCAGCCCTCTCATCCTTGGCAGGCCCTCGCAGCCCGGACCGGCTCTCGCATCCCTGGGTCCCTCCGGCCGGTCGTTCTGCTGTTTGGTCTAATTAGCATATTAGCTCTTTATTGTATAGGATAGGATTTAACTCTTAAAACAGCCTTGCAAAGTTGGTGATATTATCCTCATTTTAAAGATAAGGAAAAGCCAGATGCTTATTAATACTTTTCTGGACCATAGTAAGAATCTTCGAAAGGTCTTGCATCAAATATCTTCTGCCTTGAGGACATTTAGTAATCTTTCTAAAACATAAATATAATGATGTTTCTCTCCTGTTCTAAGCTTTGCTCTAGTAGTTCCTCCATGTGTTCTTTTTTTATTGAATTTATTGTGGTGACATTAATAAAATTACATAGGTTTCAAGTGTACAATTCTGTAATACATCATCTATGTATTGTATTTTGTGTTCACTCCATTGTGTTCTGAATAAAGGCCCAACACCTTAGTATGAGATTTGAGGCTTTTTGATCCAACTCCTACCCATGCATTCAAACATAAAAACTCTTCAGGCCTTGGACACATTATCAACATTCATGATAATAGCTAGCATTTATTTACTCAAATAATTGTGTGTCTACTTTGTGTTCCCTGGTGATGGTGAGAATTCTAAGGTAAATAGGCTGAGTACCTACCCTCGGGAAACTTAACAGTTTGGTGGAAACGTAAGTAATGATACTGCAATATTAGTAGATAATAAAGGTATAGGGTTATGAGAACTGGGAGTGGGGTGCTGACTAGGACAGGAGTTATTCCTATTCATCCTGTTTCTAATGCCTTAAATGACCTTTCCTTTTTTACTTAATGCACTCCTATTCTTTAAGGTCTGGCTCTAAACTAGGAAGCCAGAACAGTAGTTTTTTTCTTAATTTCATAAGAGATCCTATTCAGGATGCAATCACTGCTGTATCCCAGGGCCTGTGTAAGTGTCTAACAGATGGTAAATGCTCAGAATTGGATGAATGATTGAGTGGGTGGAGAGGTGGACTATCAAGTATTAAAAAGTGTCATCCTGCCATAAAGGAACATGTAGTCTAGCTGTAAGTATTCAGAAAGGCACTGTTGCTTTGATTTCATGAGCTATCCTTTCAGTTAAGTCATTTTTGCTTACCATGAAAGATCCTTTTAAGTAACAGAAGTCACACTGTCAGGTGTGTACTCATTTCTCATTTTTGGAATGGAACTATGTTTGTCTGCTTTGGAAATTTTTTCTTCAAACATTTAGGAGGAAAAAATGGCAAAGATAATATTGTTCATCAGAGCCTGAATGCCAAGCCTGGTTTTGCAATTTACCAGCTCTGTGACCTTGGTTAAGTAACTAAGCCTTTCATGCCTCATTTTCCTAACTTCCTAGTCTCTCCTTGTGTAAAGTGGGGATAAGCGCTAATTAGGTAGCTTAGAGCATTGTTCCAATAAGCCAAAGTTGTGGATTTGATCCCTGGTCAGAGCACATACAAGAATCGACCAATGAATGCATAAGTAAGTGGAACAATAAATTAATGTTTGTCTCTGTCTCTCTATAATCAATAAATTAAAAAAAAAAGACTTTCTTCAAAAAAGTAAAGTGGGGATGATAATAATAGAGCTATACCTCACATTATTGAGAAAATTAAAGGAGTTACTTCATGTAAATAAATTGCTTAAGAATGGCTGGCTCAGAGTACTCAATAACTGATGAGTGTTATAATAATGATTGTGATCACAGTATACATGTATCTAGATTTTTATTTCTATGAGAAGCTGATAACAGACATTTAAGTGCTATCTATAAGCTTTCCATATCAAATTTAAGCATTTATATATAAGCTAAAACAATTTTGATAGTTTTGGAATCTGGAGGTTTGAGGGCTTCAGTATACTATTCTCTTTTGTGTATTTTTGAAATTTTTCATGATACAATTTATTTATGTTTATATTGGATTTTAGAGAGAGAAGGGAGAAGGGTAGAGAGATAAAAACATCTATGAGAGCCATAACCGGTTTGGCTCAGTGGATGGAGTGTCGACCTGCGGACTGAAGGGTCCCAGGTTCGATTCCGGTCAAGGGCATGTACCTTGGTTGCGGGCACATCTCCAGTGGGGAGTGTGCAGGAGGCAGCTGATTGATGTTTCTCTCTCATCGATGTTTCTAGCTCTCTATCTCTCTCCCTTCCTCTCTGTAAAAAATCAATAAAATATATTTTAAAAAAAACAAAAAACATCTATGAGAGACATCGATCGGCTGCCTCCCGCATGCCCCCTACTGGAGATTGCGCCCACAATCCGGGCATGTGCCCTGATCACAACCAAATTGGGGACCTCTTGGCTCATGGGTTGATGCTCAACCACTGAGCAACATTGGCTAGGCTCATGATACAATTTAAAATCAGAAATTTGGGGCAATGATGCTGAATACTTGGAGATTTTTAATGACCTTAGCACTTGAAAGATTATGCTAAACTGTCCTGAAGTGGAGAGACTCTTTGGAAATGCTGATCTAGGGTTTCTTTTTGAGGGGAGAGGTTGCTTTTTGCTTTTTAGAAAATTCTCATAGGATTGTTAATTCTCTCTGTTGCATTCATGATACCTCCCCACCCACCTTCAGTTAGGTCAGCTACAATCACTTATTTGAAGCCAGTTATATCAGTGGTCCCCGACCTTTTGGACCTCGAGGACCACTGATTGGCGACCACTGAGTTATATCATCCTGATTGAGGTTGATCATGTCAGCTATTAACAGAGGAAGTGCTCCTAGAATGGTGAATCTAAAAAAAGGAATTACCAGCTTTCTAGGGCCATTGCATCCTGTGGGCCTTTCCTAGTCCCATAGGCCCTTTTCCCCTTTCCTTTTTTATCATATCATCCAAATATTGGATTTCTTATACTGCTTCATATAGAAGACAGACAAAGCTTGCCTGGAATGAAAACATCCTTGGAGAGATTAGACTGTGACTAACTCTCATTTCCAACATGTAAAGGCAGCAGATTAGATTAAGAAATAAGCAACATAATACTGTGCTCCATTTGGCATAGGGTTTTGGTTGCCTAAGAAATAAATGAATTGGTTCCTGAGAATTTTGAGAAATATGGCTTTAGTACTAGAACTGCACAATGTTACCAGGATTTGGAACTAGGGACAGAGGGTATCTTAGTGGTTACATCTGATCCAGAAAAATCGCTCTCACCAGTTTTTCCAAGGCCTTTGTGAGGTTTTTGTTTGTTTGTTTTTTATATTTTTATTGATTTCAGAGAGGAAAGGATAGAAAGATAGAAATATCAACAATGAGAGAGAATCATTGATCGGCTGCCTCTTGCACACCCCCTACTGGGGATCGAGCCCGCAACCCAGGGTTTGTGCCATTGATCGGAATCAAACCCAGGACCTTTCAGTCCGCAGGCTGACACTCTATCCACTGAGCCAAATCGGCTAGGGCAAGGCTTTTGTTTATTTTGATATTAGAGCTCCAGTAGGAGATGTGAATGTCACCCAGATCAGTTCATCCGAAGGGGATTCCCATTGACTGGGAGCTACCCGGAAGAGATTCTGTCCCTGAGTCCCAGAGATACTTTTATTTCAAGCCACCCCTCCATGATGAGACCCCAGCTGTCCCTGTGGTGCTCAATATGGTGGCAAATGTCTCAGCCTGTGACTTCCTAATGCTTTCTGGCTGCTCTGTATCTCCAGTGGGACTTACGATGTCTTATAACCTTTATATGGTTGCCTTATATTCTCTAAGTGTATTCATCATAAAATTGAGTGCTTTTTTGAAGGCATTTGTGATGAGACTCTCAAGTGGACCAATGTAAAAGTGTTTTGTGTTGCTACAAATATTACAAAATTCTCAGATAAAACTAATTCTCTAGCTCGTGTGTGTGTGTGTGTGTGTGTGTGTGTGTGTGTGTATGTGATAAGGTGGGTGAGAACTGGTATCAACCTTCTAAGTATTTGTAAATTGTTTAGGTGTTAGATTATAATAACTGGTGACTGTTTCTAAAGATAAAAAAATTAAAAAAACTTTTTCTAGTCTGAATACTTTTTACCTGTGTCTTTTCCCCCTGTGATTTGAATTGCTCTTTCTATAACTATATATTTACATTAGTCTGATTGTTGCTTTTTACTATCATAGAAAGTACATAATTGGTAGATTTTATGGCTCAAAATTGCAGCTAACACTGATTCATAATTCAAGGTTAACTATTTACATCTTCTGAAATTTTTATTCGTGAAGTTGACAGCATGTCATTATTTGTAAATAAAAGCAGTTTTCAATTGCTTCCTTTTTTTTTACTATTCAATTTGAGATACATTTGAAAATATGAATAAAATTATTTTTGTTTCATATCAAGAAATGGATGAAAAGAGGCTGCTGGATCCAGGGTTGAAAGTTCATAAAGGCCTCTGGGATTATACTCTGAAGAGCCAGCAGATGGAATGCCTGAGTGACTGAAGAAAATGGGTGCTAATGCATCTAACTATCCTCATTCATGTTCCCCGAGGGTAGGGGGAAATTCTCAAGCCCAACAGACTTTTATAGGTAACTGTTTTCATTTTTCTAATTCATTTTATTCTGTGAATATAAATAGAATCATGTTTTTTGGTGGTCTTTTCGGATGAAAACATAAATGAGCATCCAGGATTTTTCCTCAACAAATGTAAATCTGCTCTTTTGTCCTTATTTAATATGAAAAAAAGTTATTTGAACTTTTTATCTTTATAAAAACAAAATCAGGGTGTTTTTTTATGGTTTAAGAATGTCTAAAAATTTTTAGCATGAAATATGTGTTACAGTGAATGTTGAAAATGAATGTTTAAGAAAAAAGAAACACATTTTCATTTGTTTAATTTCCTTCTTAGGGACATCATCCTATTCTCAGCAAGGCTATGGCTGTGAATCAAAATTATATAGCCTTGACCATGGCCATGAGAAACCACAAGACAAAAAAAAGAGAACCTCTGGCCTTGCCACCCTCAAAAAGAAGTTTATTAAGCGTCGAAAATCGAATAGGTCTGCTGATCACGCCAAGCAGATGCGAGAACTCCTCTCTGGTTGGGATGTTAGAGATGTCAATGCATTAGTGGAGGAATACGAGGGAACTTCAGCCTTAAAGGAACTTTCTCTACAAGCCAGTTTGGCTAGACCAGAAGCCCGGACATTGCAGAAGGATATGGCCGATCTTTATGAGTATAAGTATTGTACTGATGTAGACTTAATATTTCAAGAAACTTGTTTTCCTGTTCATCGTGCCATTTTGGCGGCAAGGTGTCCATTTTTTAAAACACTGCTTTCTTCCTCACCTGAGTATGGGGCAGAGATCATAATGGACATCAATACAGCTGGTATAGATATGCCTATGTTTTCTGCTTTGTTACACTACCTTTATACTGGAGAGTTTGGAATGGAGGACTCAAGGTTTCAAAATGTCGATATCCTCGTTCAGCTTAGTGAAGAATTTGGAACACCAAATTCCCTTGATGTAGATATGCGTGGACTTTTTGATTACATGTGCTATTACGATGTCGTCCTTAGTTTTTCTTCAGACTCTGAACTGGTTGAAGCTTTTGGTGGAAATCAGAACTGTTTAGATGAGGAGCACAAAGCTCACAAAGCTGTTATTTCGGCACGGTCCCCATTTTTTCGAAATTTATTACAAAGGAGGATACGGACTGGTGAAGAAATCACAGACCGAACTTTGAGGACTCCCACAAGAATTATATTAGATGAGTCCATTATACCAAAAAAATATGCAAAAGTTATATTACACTGTATGTATACCGATATAGTGGACCTCTCCGTTTTGCACTGTAGCCCCTCGGTGGGGAGTCTCAGTGAAGTTCAGGCTCTCGTCGCAGGGAAACCAAACATGACCAGGGCAGAAGAAGCCATGGAACTTTACCACATAGCACTGTTCTTGGAATTTAACATGCTTGCACAAGGTATGAAATTCTAATTTTCAATTTTTCTTTTTAAAATTACACATTTGTCTTCCAGATTTGAAAACACAACCAGTACACTCCATGAAAACACAAACCGTACATTCCATGGTTTCAGTGTTTGGGATGTGAAAGGGTCAGTTTATTATGAATGTGTACTTATGACATCTGAGACAGAATTTATGGCTAGTATTAATGTGGAACTTCATTTAGCATTAAAGCCAAGCATTAAAAACTAGTGACTAAAAGCAGTAGATGAGACTGAAGGCTCTTCCTTTCCTAATGTTAGACTATAGGTAAGGGAATATGTAATTACCCAGTTACCACCCACCTACACCCTGTCTGCACTCAAGCTTTGAACTAGCCCTGTTTCCCAGATTTCAAGGTTATACTTGATCTTGGACTTTTTGGATAACTTAGATTCTCTTATTTACACTCAGTGCTTTATTCATGCTGATGTGTTTAGTATAAGAATGAAACTTCATAGTAACAATGAAGATAGTCACATTTGGAAACAAATTTATTTGAATCTGATTTAAATTTTAAGATATTCTGTATTTTTTCAAGCTCAATTTGCACATCAAGTAATAACCTGCGGCATGTAAGGGGTGTCAGGCACGGTTAATGTTAGGCTCATATACCTTCTTTTTTTAAAAAATATATTTTTATTGATTTTTTTACAGAGAGGAAGGGAGAGAGAGACAGAGTTAGAAATATCGATGAGAGAGAAACATCGATCAGCTGCCTCCTGCACATCTCCTACTGGGGATGTGCCCGCAACCCAGGCACATGCCCTTGACCGGAATCGAACCTGGGACCTTCCAGTCCGCAGGCCGACGCTCCATCCACTGAGCCAAAACGGCTTCGGCTCATATACCTTCTTAATTTAATTCAAACTAAAATTTTTAACTTAGGGCAGCACTTTTTGTTGTTGTTATTGTTATAGCCAAATTAACCTGGAAGTTATATTAGAATCTTAACATTTCAAAGCTGAAAAGGGACCCTCCACAGTAGAGCAAAGGGTAATTATTGTCCTAACAGAGTGCATTCTTAGTTTTCTATGGCCATATATTAAAAGAAAAGTTACAAGACATGAAATTACTTGAGAAGTTTAACTAATGAGTATTTGCTAAAAGAGCATTAGAAGTTGCCAATTAGAAGGGAATGTTAACGGTTTGAATAAAAGACAAATTTAGAAAAGAAAGCTAAGCACATTTTCCTAACTTGAAAATAATGTGTATTGTATGGCTAAATCAACAAATTAATAAGACTTGGGGGAAAAAAAAAAAATGAAAGCCCCTGTTAAATAACAATGTCAGGAGGAAAAAAAAGGATAATAATGTCAGGAATAAAATGAGAGGAATTATATAGAAGGAAACATTGATAAATAAGAGTGAAAAAGTTGAGATTTCTGTTACATAAAAAATTTCTTGTATTTTGATTTTACCATTATCTTTTTAGTACTAGTACTAATTTTGTTTACACAAAGTGTCATTAAAATATTTTTCTATTAATTATTATACTAATATTAGTAGACTGTTCAGATGTCAGAAGATAGAAAAATACATTATCAAAAATAACCTAGGCCTGGCCAGCATGACTCAGTGGTTAGAGTGTCAGCCTGCACACCAGAGGGTCACAGGTTCGATTTCCAGTCAAGGGCATGTTCCTGGGTTGCAGGTTTGATCGCCGCCGCCAGTCGGGGGTTGAGTATGGGAGGCCACCAATCAATGTCTCATATCAAAATTTCTCTCCTTTCTCTCTCTCTCCCTCCTTCCCCCCTCCTCGCTCCCTCTCCTTCCCTTCTTCGCTCCTTTGCACTCTTTCTAAAAATCAGTGGAAAAATATCTTCACTCCTTGGGCGAGGATTAAAATAAATTTATATATATAAAAGCCTAAGTGACCGTTATGACCTGTCGACCAGCCGCTATGATGGGCGCTGACCACAGGGGGCAGACGCTTAACGCAGGAGCTGCCCCCTGGTGGTCAGTGCGCTCCTACAGCCAACCTCCCACTGCCAGCCAACTTCCCATGGTTCCTCCCTCTGATCGGCCTCGATGGGTCCTGATTGACGGACAGGCAGAGGAACCCCACCTGTGCATGAATTCATGTACCAGGCCTTTAGTAAATAAATAACCTAGCAGCTTGACCTTTTATTCTATAAAAACAAATTTATCAGAAAATTTTGAAGGTTGCGACATTACCAAAAAGGTATAATAACCTCTCTCTTCTCGAATTGGTTTTATATTTGACATGTTTAAAATATAAGAACTTATTGTATATACTTTACTGTTTTAAAAAATGGGAAGGCATTCCTTAATATAGATATTTGTTATTTTAATTTTTCAATGAAAGGTAAAATTAATGAGCCAACTCTTACATCTTGGGTAATACTTGATCTAGAGTTCTTTTATATTGAAACTAGAGGCCCAGCGCGCATGAAATCATGTGCAGTTAGGGTCCCTAGGCCTAGCCTGGCTTCCGTTGCATGGCCTCTGCCGCCCTGTGACGCTACATGAAACTCCCCGACCTGGGACACTCCACGATGCTCGGGGCCCCTCACTGCTCTGCAAAGCTCGCCACTACATGGTCAGCGAAACTCCCCCATCCCACCACTGCTCCGTAAGGCTGCCCCCCCCTCCATGACTGCTCCGAGAATGCTACGCGAAACTCCCCCGCCCTGCGACTGCTTTGTGAAACTCTCTGCTGCCCGGGTGATTGCTCTGCTAAGCTCATGGCCATCCCACGAAGCAGCCCACTGCTGCCGCTCAACAGTCCCCAGTCCCACCCCGACACCAGCCCCTCCTCATGGTGAGCAGCTCAGGGGCTGGGGGTAGGGGGTGGGGAATGGGACCAAAAGGTGCTCCATGCACTTCATGGTGACCGGTTGCCTGTTTGTTCTTGACGGCACCTAGCTCTTTATATATATTAGGATAATTTTTGTTGTTAATCCTCACCTAAGGATATTTTTTAGAGAGAGTGGAAGGGGGGGATGAGAGAGAGAAAGACATCGATGTGAGAGAGACATACCAATTGGTTGCCTCCTGCGCGTATCCCTACCAGGGCCAGGGATCGAACCTGCAACACAGGTATGTGCCCTTGACTGGGGATCAAACCAGAGACCCTTTGGTCCAAGAGATGACACTCCAACCATTTGGCCATACCAGCCAGGGCATGAGATAATTTCTTAATCATTTAGCTAGAAACTTTTTTTGGTATATTTATGATATAAAACATTCCTTTTATTTCCTTAATCTTGGTTACTTAAAATCCCTTAAATTTGGCTGTATATGGCTCCCTGTTTCCTTTCATTTTTCAAAATACAGAGTTTTGGTTACTTAGCCTTTTGTCTTTTGCACTCAATGTAGTCCTTATCTATTCTCCATACCCATGGTACTATTCATGTTAAGGTTTATAATAGACCATACTTGCAGCATAATTTTTACCTCATTCCCATGGGAAGGAGAATATTTGGTCACTTGAAAAGGGATTTTATACCATAAAACTTAAAAGCTCAGGTGCTTGAACTAGACAAACTGGATTTCAATAGTTCAGTACCATGTTTTAACTTGTATAATGCTCTGAGGCATCTATTGTGTGTAATTAATTAGCTTCTCTCCCATGCATCCAACATGATTCTACTTATGTAGCCTTTTGGTGAGAATTAAGAAAATAGTCACCAAAATCATTTTCTGTGATTCAGACAGTCTCCCAGTTAAGAAAGGCTGTAAGACTAGCCTGTTGGGCAACTTGAGGGTATGACCATATCCTCATCTTTGCATTCCCAATACTTGGCACATAGTAGGTACTCAGTAAGTGGTTCGAATAAGTTAATGAAAGTTAAAGCCCGGTTTTAAAAAGAAGACAAATTTTATTAAGGGAAGCTGGGACCTTAAAACTAGATATGCCCTTCAAGGTAGAGAGGTGATTTAATAGTTTCAAGAGCATCATAAAAAGAGGCATTTATAGGCAGACAGCAGAGTGGTTTGGCAAGTGGATAAAAAGGAGAATCTGGCCTACACCAAGAATGCATTTTATTCAGACAAGTAGACAGTCACTATTAGGGAGGTAATTAAACAGATAATGAGGCTGGCATTTTCAGACTAGGTTTAACTTCATTTGATTTCTTACATAACAGATGGTATATACATTTCTTTTTTTTCCAAAGCCCTAATATTATAGTACATGAATAAAAGAAGTATAAACCCTTAAGGACAAAGATACCTGAGAAGAAAACAATAGTGGAAAAAGGGGTATTGAAATTTTGGGAAGCTGGAAAGCAGATAAAGAACTAATTACTGGCTTAACAAAGAAGAGAGGTCTATAGCTCTATAGCAGTGATTCTCAACCTTCCTAATGCCGCAACCCTTTAATACAGTTCCTCATGTTTGCTGACCCCCAACCATAAAATTATTTTCGTTGCTACTTCATAACTGTAATGTTGCTACTGTTAGGAATCGTAAATATCTGATATGCAGGATGTATTTTCATTGTTACAAATTGAACATAATGAAAGCATAGTGATTAATCACAAAAACAATATGTAATTATGTGTTTTCCGATGGTCTTAAGCGACCCCTGTGAAAGGGTCGTTCAATCCCCAAAGGGGTAGCGACCCACAGGTTGAGAACCACTGCTCTATAGTCTTAAGTCACCTTTATATATGGTGTTAGAAAGGGATGGGGTTTTGTTTTACTCCATATAATGATGTGGTTTCTGAGCACCCCTCTATTAAACAATCCATTTCCCCTCTCTAGTTTGTACCACCTTTTATTAAGTTCATATTTATGTATATATATGTTTATGCTAGAGGCCTGGTGCACGGATTTCTGCTCTGGTGGGGTCCCTCGACCTGGCCTGCACCCTCTCACAATCTGGGACCCCTCGGGGGATATTGGACTGCTAGTTTCTGCCTGATCCCCGAAGGCCAGGCTGAGGGACCCAACTGGTGCACAAATCCATGCACTGGGCCTCTAATATGCATATAAGATATTTGACTAATC